TTTAGGTCGCAGTGTATTAACACCCCATTTTCAACATAACATCTTTGTCGAGTAATAAATACGTCTGTATCCAATTTTTGTTAAAAATAATGGTAATTTATTCATGTCTCTTAATCATACTCTAGGCAAGAAACAAAATGGAAAGTGAAAACGAGAAGAAAAGTACTATACCACATACTTATAAATAACCATCCATATATTTCATCAAAACAAAGTGAGAACATTACTATTTTTCATTATTTTTAGTGTACAAGACAATAATAATTAAGGAAAATAGTGTATATTCTCTACTATAAAATTGAAAATATTGGTGAAATGGATTTTGAAAAAATAATTTTTAAGTGCCATTTTGATGTTATGTTTACAGAAGAGTAGGTATTAAATTATTATCGCCTTTATTATTTTATTTGTACATAGTCCACTTCTACTTTTGATATCTAAATTAAAATTTGACATCAGTACATCCAGGTACATCATTCATATCGTCGGCAAAACCCAAAAAGTGTGTAACTCCATCTTTTGTCGAGTTTTGGCTTTTATTGTCATCTATTAACACAAAGCAGAAGTTATTAGCATAGAAATTCGTGTATATCCTAAAAAATTGGAATTTATGTAATTTTAAAAATAGAGATCTACCTAGCTCCAGTCAGCTGCTATTTGTAAATGAAATATGTGTAACTCCCCTAGTTCACATGTTACTCTAAACTGACTGTTTTATGTTACGCTTTAAGACGCATCTACTGTGAATTTTTTACACAAAATAAGTGTTGCATGATTGAAAGTATGGTAAGTGTATCAATAATAGTGTAAAACGGTATACTCTGTTCCAAATACGTTCAAAAAATTAATCCATTTTTTTCTGTAGATTTCAATCATGTCAAGGGGAGAGAAAATACTTAATATGGTTTCAAATTTGAAACAAATATAGACAACAGTGAGGTCATTGAGGAGTGCATTGGGCTAGAAGATCGTTCCTTACAAAGGATAGATCATTCCTATGCAGCTGAGTTTTCCGTGCAAGGTATGCATTTTGGTTTATTGGAAAAATTAAAATAATCAACCTGTTTACTTTGAAAGGTTGGTAAGGGTATATTACACACTCACATACTTTTATTATTATTAATAATAATAATAATATTTACTTTTTTCTAGTTGAGGATGACAATGCCGTAATTGGTCTGGAAACAGTAGGTGAAACAGGTCTAGAGAGTTAAGAAATGATGAGCAAACAACGGGATATTTTGAAGATAATCAGATAGAGACTGAAAATGAGACAATCGAAAAAATTGGCGATTTTCAGGAGAACCAAATTTTAACACAAGCCGTTGATTATGAGAATGATACTGTCATGGACCAATCTAATGAATACGAACCCAAGAAGTATTCTGAAATTAGTAATGATGAACCTTCTGATTTAGAAAAACAGAATCCTAGAGAGGTAAGATAAAAAATTAGAAAACACTGTGGAAGACGAGGAAAACAACGATGAAGGAACACCCAGAAAAAAAGAAGACGTGTTTATGTAAAGGAAGATGCAACATACTTGCAAAATAAAAAGAACAGGGAATTTGGTAGAGCTAACCAGAGCAAAAAAAAGGTAGACAATAAGTAGAACTACAATATTGAAAAACCCGGAAAAGCAATGAAAAATAGATGTTTGTGCAAATTGGATAAAGTAAACTCAGTTTTAAAATGTTCCGAAGTCATACAGAAATATCGTCAAAAAATATTTGATATGTTTTGGAAAATGACTTGGCCTAAAAGAAGCAATATGCGCTAGGTCTTATTTACATACAAGAGGTGAAAATGCGACGGGGTAGAACCTAGAAAATACTAGAAAAAATTATTTATATAAGTACTACTTGAAATGTAGCAATTTAAAAACTTACAGAGTATGCAAAAAGATATTAACAAGAACTTTAGGGATATCAGAAAATGTTATATTCCTTTGGTTAGATAAGAACAATAGCATAACTGAAGACAACGTTGAATAGAATGTTAAAAGACCTAGGAAAGAAAATGAAAAGACAAAATCAATTAACCATCTAAAAATCTTTTATAGACCAAAAAAGACCAGTGCGATATCTGCATGGGCTATAAAACTAAAAATATCTCTGATAAAACATACCAAGAACATTTGGTCTTTAAGGAGGAAGCTAGAAGAGAAAAAGGTAGGGATAAACTCTCTGAGAATGATGTTGTCATGACAGTCGATTTGCAATCAGTACCTCTAATGTATTATAAGACCAAGCTTGATGTGCACAATTATACTCTTTATGATATAAAGTCAAATGATGGCTATTGCTTTTTATGGAGTGAAATTGAGGGTTCTCTAGGCGCAAACGAGTTTTCAAGTATACTTACCTATTTTATTGAAACCATGATTTTACCAAAAATTAATAAAATATTAGCTAAAATTATAATTTGGAGTGATGGCTGCGTAGCCCAGAATAGAAACAATGTGTTGTCCAATACACTTTTGAATATTGCAATCAAACATAATGTTGTGATTTTACAAAAATTTCTCCACAAAGGACATACCCAAATGGAGACTGATTCCATGCATTCAGTCATAGAACGTCGTTTGCGAAATCGAGATATCAACGTTCCTGCTGACTATGTCCAATATTGCAGAACAGGATGTCTTAATCCAACACCCTATTTTGTATAATATTGTTCATTTAATTTTTTTTTTTTTTTAATTTTGATAATGTTAAGTTCTACAACTCAACCGGACCAGGACGTAAAACTGGTGACCCAGTTGTTACAGATCTGAAACAAATGATATATAACCCCAGTGGACGCATAGATGTCAGACTTCGACACTCTGAGGAATAGCAGCCACTGAATTCGAGGATGAACGCACGGTAAAACGCTTTAAGTAGTGAGTATTTACCCAGTTTATACACAACACGAAGAAACATTAAGAAAGGAAAGATTAATCACCTGCAACAGTTGAAAATGGGCTTAGAAGAGGACTACCATGCTTTTTATGACAACATTCCATATGAATGAACAGCTCGTCATCTTTTAGGTCGTCAAGTTTTATTCACTTTTGATTTAATACATATTTGATTTTTAAATATAACCATTTTGTTATTTAATACCTTTCCTAAAAACTTTCGGCATCTGCCTACAAAACTTACAGCAATTCGGGTAACTCCAAAATAAATTTTCAAAAAGATTTATCCATTAAAATATTTAAAACACCTAAAAAAGACTCGTAGAGTTTTAGGCATGAGAAGTTAGCCCAAATAGTGCCTATTTTCCAAATTTAACAAGAATCGGCGTAGCCAGTAAAAAAAAATGTTTCTTGTCTCTCCTATAAAATTTATTAAAATGGAGTTACACAGTTTTCGGGTTTCGCCGACGATATCTAAGATCAACAATAACTAGACCTCAACAAAGATGAAAGAAGCGTTACTTTAAACTAACAACAATAAATAATATTGCAAGATTATTAGAGTTATAAATAAAATACAATTATATTTGTTCGTAAATATAATATATGTCATGCTGCGTGAACATTAGTATAATAACCTGTCAAATGATTGACCAATCATCTGAAGTTGGATACATGTCGATGTTAAAATATTCTTTATCTAGCTGTTATAATGGTCAAACGGGTACCTCACCTTCTAATGACCTCTGGTGGATTTTTTGGAACTACGTTATCTTTATTTTTATATGGGATTTTAGGAAAGTTGAAACACTTGTAATAATTATCTTCCATCGTGCATTTTATGGGACACTTTTTGTATACAAAGGTAGTTCTCCTTACCTCTACACTCCACAATATCAATATTTTGATTATTATTTTACCAAATCGAGACATTAAAAAAAATAAATTTGAAAGCGTCAAAGTTTAAGTTTTTAGAAATGTCATATTATTAAACCTGGTTTACAAATGGTGTACACCAGATTATCGTTTATATTAAATATTGATTAATAATGAAATGAGAAAAAGAGTAAAAAGTCATAATTTACTGTATGTACTGTGAACCTTTTTAATAAATAATAATTAAAATAGTTATTAGGCGAAACGTCCAATTTTGAGTTTTATCATTTAGCGGAATAAAAAATAGACATAATAGCTACTACATATTGGTTTGTTTAGTGAAAACTTGACTTAAGTGATAACACGCCTAGGGAACTTATCAGTCAGAGCTGATTGGATATGCTGATGCACGTGACTGAAAATGAAAGATTTTAATTGGTTTTCTATTAATGCCAGAAATTTTCTAAATAAGTTATTTTTAAGCCGAAAATAAACTTGCAGCAAGTTTTCAAAAATTAATTTATGAAAGAACATTTTCGGCTAACTTTATTTTGCAAATATATAAAAATAAGATTGCTTCAAGTTTAGAAATATAAATTTTCCTATAAAAACTTATTAAAAACTTTCGATTATAAATTAAAATTTGTGAACTTATAATAATTTTTTCATACATAAGTTTAAGTCGCAAGTCGAAAATAAATTTGCAGAAAATGTTTGTACATTTCTATGTTTGGTGACTTGTATTGGAAGACTGTAGCCCTTACATACTGCTTTTAAGAAAGATCTAGTTTTTATTCAAATAAAAATAAGTAATGTATTGTACCTATTTCGAAATTTTAGCTTATCTTTATAACTTATGACTTGTAAAGTAATGCCTTTGTACTTTCTTTATTAATTGAGTAAAAATAAGTCATATAGGAAATAGTTTAATCTTTTCTATATACCACTTAATCACAATAAATTACTTTGATTGGGACGATGATACATATGAGTATCTCATACAGTAACAATATAAATACCAAGCAATATATTTTATTGCACTTAAAAATTACTTTTAAGTACCTACCTATATAAAGTTATAAAAAATCCCCCTTCTTCTAATAATAATAGATAATAAAGATTATTTTACAGATTATTTTTCTAATAATAAAGAAAGTATTTTTAATAACTGAACTAAATTATTACTCACTAAAATAAATTAAAAAATTAAAAAGGGACTAACTCTTAAATATGACAACCGCCATTTTCTTTCATCGTTTGTGAGCGGACTCTTTTTCAATGTGTCTTCGTCCTCATCATATTCACTCAAAATAGATATTTCTTTTAAACTTATTCTTGACAAAATAACGTTATCAGTATCATCGGTTTCCATTTTGGATTCAATCTAAAAAAATCTATGTTATATGCAAATTTACCTTTTTAATTTATTATTTTTTAAACTATTGCCTTTTAGGCAATAAATATTATTTGTATTATTATTGATACATGTTTTTAGGATGCTTTATAAAGTACAGTGAAAGTTTTCAGATGATATTTGAATTTTTAAAACAAAAAAACACACAAATAATTAAAATTAGAATATTAAAAAAAACGACAAAACGTACTGAAAAATTAAAATATGACAAATACGGAGTTAATCTGATTTTCACACAATACACATCCTATTTGAAAACGATGCACAGAGGCCTTTTACAGATTGATTTTCACGATTAGGGTTGCCACCTGTCCTTTTTGAAAGGGACATTTCGTTTTTCAAACAAATGGCCCTTAAACCTAAAAATATCCTTTTTAAGAACCATATTTCAATATTTTTCGAGATTAATTTATTCGCAGCAGTACCGGCATGGCCCGCGCGCTCCCAGAAACAGAAACCCAGTCCCAGTTCTGTTTTTTTCCGAACAAACTTTATCATTTAACATATTTGCGTTTTTCTGAACGAACTTTACTTGTTTAAATTCTACAAAAAAAATTTATATATGTTCAATTTTCCAAATAAACCAAACCAAACAAATGTTTGCGGCTAAAATCAAAGTTTAAAGATTATCTAAAATATTCTGATTATTTGGCGGTTTTATTGTTATTAATTGAGGTGCTGCAGATTTCAGACTGTTATCAAGAGATTGAAATTGCAAATAGTAGTTTGTTGCACAAAAACAAAGTCTAAGTGCGATATGAACAATCCACTCGAGTTGTACAGTATATTTTTTCTACTACCCACAAACAAAAATCTACAAATTTAAAAAATTATTTTATTTTGTTACGACAAAATAACTAATTTTTAAATAATTTATGACTTTGACTAGAAGACAGATCATCTTCATCTCCACATTTAGGATTTTAGTTTAATACTCGTAACTAAATTAAAATTATTTTTATATAGTTTGATTCAAATTTTCTTCAAAATGTGAACCAAATAAAAATAAAAATGCTATTATTTATCGATTCTACACAAAAATCATTTTATTGTATACTTAATCTCAATAACTAAAAAATGTACTGACAATTAATTTGACAGAATTGTCACTTATTTAAAATTTTATAAATAATAGTAGTTGGGTGTTCAAAATAAGAACTGTGATTGGTGGATTCCATTTTTTACAGTGTTTTTACTACCTAGAATGGGTATGAAATATATTCGTTCAGTTAAACGCAATAGCACACTTTTTCGTTTTGTAGTCTGTTCGTATATAAGTCAATATCTATGTGGTTGTAGAAAAACAAGTTTAAGCACATCAAAAAAATCATGATTCCTATACTTTCCTTATCTGTATACAGATAGGAAAGTAAAAAGTTATTTTAAACTGTTATAAAAATACTCCAAACGTTTTTTCGTTAATTTCATTTTTATTAGGTATACCTGATAGTTCAGCATTTTCTGAGCGAAATTTTCTGTAATGGCTACTAAAGGTCGAGACGAAAGAAATCAGAGCTCCACAAAACTAAATTGCTTAGAGCTATTAACATATTTTTTCTACACTCACATGGACTACAAACCGAAAAAGTGTGCTATTCCGTTTAACTAAACGAATATATTTCATATCAATTCTACCTAGTAAGAAAACTGCACAAATATGAAATCCACCAATCACAGTTCATATTTTGTTCACCCAGCTACTATTTTTTTTTTTTTTTAATAAGTTTTAATTCTGTCAAACTAATTGTCAGTACATATTTTTTAGTTATTGTAATTAAATATACATTAAAATAAGTTATTCTTGAGTAGAATCGATATACAGGGTGTCAATTTGAAAAGATTCAATGCGAATATCTCGCAAAATAAAGAAGTTGGAGAAACTCCATTTGGCACAAATGTTATAGAGTTAAGGAGAAGTAGAACCACGATATTTCAGTGAAGGAGTGAGTCACCCCTTAGGCGCGACACACCCCAACACTGCTCCTTTTGTTATACCTCAAATGAAAAGTCTCATTTAATAGTATTCAAAGAATTTTTTCCATTTAATACTACACCCTGTATTACAAAAACATGAATTCGAATAAAATAAACTGTATTTTGTTAAAATGGTACTTTATTTGATCAGATAATTTTAAATGCATTCCATTTATTTCTAAACGATAGTACAATCGATTTTCAAACTCCGTTATTGTTATTAAAATGATATTTTATTTCATTAGATGGTCAACATGCATTCCATTTTTTTGTAAACAAAAAAACTTCTGATTCCATTCTAAAATTTTGGAGCACTTATCTGAGAATAAAAAATAGCATTGAATTTATCGGGTACGTACCTACCTATTAATGTTTGTATAAAATTGAGTCGTTTGTACAAGGTTGTACTGCAAAGTCAGAACTGTCTAATTGAAGAAATATGAGTATAATTTTTATTATCTGTTCATCATGGTCTACAGTTTGACTGAAAGAATTCAGATGGTGTTTATTTATGGTTCAGAAAAGTTTTTTTTATTTTATAATTAGTAAAAGTCATAAATTATTTTAAAATTAGTTATTTTATCTTAATTTTAAAATAATTTTTAAAATTTGTAAATTTTCGTTAAAAAATATACTGTACAACTCGAGTGGAATGTCTATCGCACTCAATTGAGCACTCCGCCTATAGAGAAAGTAAAAGTTGAAAAGTCTTTTGGTAGGTAGAGAGGGGGTAAACGTCAAACCACGTCGGGTGGCTCCGAGAATTTCACAGTAATGTTTACCTGCCAGTGTCGTTTCATAGAATAAGTAATTTTAAATTGTTATCGGCGGAACCGGACAATCGCATGTATTTATGGATTATAAATAATTATTAAACATGTATTATAATATTCAAATTATAATTTTACAAAATTTCAACAGCTATTCACAATTTATTAAACTATTTACTCGAAATTGTTATTAACATCTATAAAATAATTTTGTACGCCAATGTATCGCGTCCACTTCGGTGAGATCCGCTGGCAACCTGTCAATTTATGTGTATAAAGTGGGAGAACTGGCAAAAGCATTTCCAACTTTTACTTCTGTTCTACGGGGTCGTGCTCAAACTTTGTCTTCGTGTGATGCGGCCATCATATCCACTCATGTTGCAAAAACCACTATTAATTTTTTAGAGAATTGTTAAGAATTTTATGACTCCATAAAAAAAATAGCAAGGCTTTTAAACTTAATAATCCCTAAAGGTATGGTTCTGCTTGTGCATAGGTACGATGCATTTTATGTTTATTTATTTATTTATTTTATGTATTCATTTATAATGTAACTACCTAATTAAGATATTATTCTTCAACAATAAGTTATTAAAGAGTAAAAAACTGCCTGTATTACATTTTTAGCGGTTTACCGTGATAACCGCATTTATAAACTTGGACATAGATTTTTTGAAATGTCCTTTATTTAGTTTTTAAGAAGGTGGCAACCCTATCCACGATGCAAAAACCTATATTGCTAGTATGTCTTTAGTCTAGAATAATAATAGTTTTTGACAAGAGACAAAGAATGTTGTATTGTATTGATGAGTATAAACTGTATATATGATGAAAAAAATAAATTGACAATTGAAAACAAAAATATTAGATTAACCAATTCAGTATAATATAAAGTATTACTCACAGACCCACCCGACAAAATATCTTATCAATAAACAATTGAAAATCATTCAAACATCTTCCAACGCCATTTCCATTTACACCAAATGAACTTCTATCCAATCATGAATTGTTCAAAAAAGTCACAAATTTATTTACACTATACACAGAAATACATTTTTTTCCACTGGAGCAAAAGAATCACCTGTATTTCGTATGTCATTGATTGATTACTACTAAAATCTCCGACCACTTATGTCGACTATCAATTTATCAATTATTAATAGACAGTTCATTATCTACTTATCAAATATTATTTAATTAACTGATAAAATAATCGAGAAGATTCCTCGTCGATATCGTTGTCTGTTTTAAGGTACTATGATAAAAAAAGACCGACGAGTTTCTAAGAATTTTCAGTCAAGGCAGGTCAGTAAAAAAATCAGACAACTATCTTGCGATTTTGGTGGCCGTTCCCTAGATCGGAACATTAAAAAACATATTACTGTCCTATTGTTTTTAAATAAATGCTACAAATTCGTAAGTATAAGACGATTTTCCTTTGATAGTGGAGAGGTTTAAATATGACAGTTTTGATTCCTGCCTGAGGATAAGGATATTTTTCAATTTTTCTTGGGTTGCCTTTCTTTATATTTAGGAATTTACTCTTAAATTTTTCTACTTTATTTTGAATATCATTAAACCTATTTATTAAAATTATAATTTTACCGTATATATACCGTCAGCCAGTCGCGTATCGTAGGTTTCTGCCACTCGGTGCAGATGCTACATTTGTCGCCCCTCTGCAATAGAATTTCTTCTTCCTCAAAACTTAAAATTTTTAAAAACTAAAAAAAAAATGTTTAATGGCCAAAGCATGTTTTGGTCGTCCAAAAACAATAATATTACTTAAAGAATATTTATTATTATTTGAAATCACACCGAGAAAAAGCTTTGCTAGTGAGTATTAATAATGTAGTACTTGTTATTACATGTTTATTACTTACTATATGAAATAACTGAATCTTTTGTTCTTGGATCTGTTGCTTTCACTAACAAACTAATAAACCAACTACAATTTACATGTATTATATAAATTCCCCGTAATCGCAGTCCGTGTTCAGGTCCAATAGTTTCCACAAAATGAATTTACAAAGGCAATTTCCAAATTACGAAGATCTACGGGTAACGCAAATACTTTCGACTGTCTGAGATATTGCCCGTTTCGTTCTGAATGGAGAAGGCGTGGTTCGTTCAGTACCAAGATTCACAGTATTCAAATGCGGGCGCCAGTCTGATGGGAACGAAATGAGATAACGAAAACTCCTCCTTGTACCATTTAATAGGTTGTTAAACATTTTCCTTTCGTGAAAATTAACAGTGTACTCTCAGGCTTTGTAGTAACCCAACCACGGTGAAAACTTCTAACATTAAATATCAGTAATCACAATTTTCCACAATAATGTGACGTTATAGCATGCAAGTATTTTTTTATACACACAGTAAGTTTGTCCCTTGGACAAAAAGTTAAAAAAATAAATATAAAGGTATATATTTAGTCGGTTATAGCATAAAAATAAAAGAAAATTTAACTAAAATTAATATCCCTAGAAGAGAAAATAAAACTTTTTTAAACCAAATAAATCCCCTGCCACTATTGCAAGTAAAACCTAATATAACAGTATCAATACGCTGATATCAGGGTTCAGACGGCCATGCGCACAGTGTATAGTAAAGAAAAAAATGTATGAAATATCATTAAAATATCACTTGATTTCAGTCGTACAATGACCATAACCATTACTATGTAATATACTAACATACTACATATGTAACAAACCCATTCCCATAATATTACTTAAAAGAACTTAAATATTTATTATAACATTGAAGTCATAGAAGGGTATAAACAAAATTATTTACATTAAATAAAACCTCTTTTCTCGAGATGGTTTTCTAGTTTTAGTTTATGTGGGGGTAGTAATAAAACTCGTTAGGCCACGTCTGATAGTGGCAGTCTGTGTACTGCACAATAAAACTGTACATTGAAACCCTTCTAAACAAAAGGCTTTTCAACAAGAAACAGGCGGCTTGCTTCCTCTCGGCTTGGCTTTATCAGTCGGCAAAACGACGAAAGAAAAGTATATCCCAATAAATGACGCAGTATGAAAAAACTACTTAAACACAAACCAAATGTAGCTTTTGGTACACCAACAGTATCCACAAATGCGTCGTCCACGTATATAAGGTTCAGGAAAATAGTCCCTACACTCGTAAGTTGGAATAAAACGAAATTTCCAGATTTCCTGAAACGAAATCACATTTCTTCCTTAAGGCCAAGTTCAATTTTGTTTGACATATAATCACGATTTTTTTTAGGTTAGAAAATTTCATTATCGATTTTTTTCATTCGAAGTAATAAAAGACGTTACTTTAAATTTCTATCTCTTTATGTCAACAAATTTATAACACGATGAATTTATAAAACGTATGTCACTAATGAATATGTGGCGGCAACTGACGGCAAAACTGTCAGCTACTCCATGGCTACTAGAGTACATACAGGTCCGGTATAAGCTATATATAAATGGAAAATAATAATTTAATGTTTTGATTGAGTTAAATGAAATATCAAAATTAAATGTTTATTTTTAAGTAAACATTTTTAAATGTATACGTCTTTAATCAAAAATAATATAAGCTAATACTCAAGTGTATACGAGTGTACTGGACAAGAGATAATTTTACCCTTTACTCCAGTTTTTTGTAATGAAACCAGCAGTAAAATAGATATTTGTGTACCAAGGCTGTGTTTTGGCCGAATTAGACATATGCGTTCGAGTCTAAGCTAGTTCTGGTTAAGTATAAGAGTAATAGGCAAGAAACGGGTGTTCAATCAAACTTGACATCGAGATAGATGTCATCTAAGCAGGTGTACTGAAGATGAACTTTGCAGGATCAAGCATCAGATAGGTATAACATTTGATATTCTGAAAACTATGCATACTACACTCGATATGAACGAATGCAAGTGTCAGAAGGAGGCAAAAGGCAAAAAATAGACGGAACAGAGCCGAATAGATAGATAAGTAATATTTTAGCCAGGAGAGAGTCGATGAGTGTTATAAATATTGTTAATTTATGAATATATTTTTAATGTATAATTTCAGTTTATTTTCATTTTTGGTAATAAAACTATGACTGACATAATAAAACTCTTAAAAGTATATATATTTTCAATCTTTATTACTATACATTATTTAGTTTTCATTTAATCTCTCTGACCTAGGGAAAAGGTTAGAAAACCCTGGTCATAATTGTTTACAATGTTGCGTGTTCCTAATGATACAAAACATTACAGAGGAATGATACTTAGCCGATGAAATCTAATCGAGTTCACGCATGACATATTGTGGTATGGAATATGGCTATCTCTGATGCATCTGCAGATTTAAATTTATTTTTGCGTACTGTTTTCTATCAACTGATACCCCAAATTTATACAAGCCACGTCTTCGCACCACAATGTGACATAGCATCAAATCTGCTTAATCTCGTACCATTTTTTTTAAGTATCAAGGATATTCTTGGTGTAGCTGATCATCATGTTTCGAGTCATTGAACCTAAAAAATAACAAATATCAATAAATAGAATTCGGAATTTATTCCAAAAATATTTTTCTTTGGGAATTATATAGGATTTCTCGTTAATATACTGACAAACTTTTAAAGGTGGTCGGTGCATCAAAATAAACATTTTTTTGCCTAATAAAATAAAAATAATGTTATTGCCCAACAAATTAATCCATTTACAGAACAAAATACATGAAATAAATGTTAAACATAATATTTCGACAGAAAATAATTTTAGCAACAGCAAGAAAAAAAAAGAAAATAAAGAATCCTAAATACATTAGCTACAAATTAGTACAACTAATGGTCGAAATAAATATCCCAATCAGAACAAAATTAATTAAAATTTGAGCACATTAGCGTTATAGGTGAATTTCTTCCCAAGTTCGTTCAAATACTTGCTGTATAAAATGTTTTATGATATCTAATGGCTGTTTGGGGAACACTAAAATTTATTTAATTTATCAAAAATAGTAAATCAATAGTGTTATGTAATACTTTATAAAAAATGTAACACTGGAAACTACCCTTCTATTTTCGAAAGAAGCAGACATTCTTTAATACCTCGAATGGGATACAGCTCATCTATTTTAAAAAAAAGGTACTTGAGAGATCGCCGCTGAACATTTTCCAATGATCTTTTATGAATATTGTAAATAAGGTTCCAGATAAGAGATGCATATTCTAGCCTGGAACGAACTAAAGAAAAGTAAGGATCTTCAAGCTTTAAGAGTTTGTAAAAGAACAAGTATTACGAAATAAGAACCCTAACGCAGAAGCAACGGTATTTTCAATATAATCCGAAAAAGTAACTTTTTGGTTGAATAATATACCTTAATCTTTAATGTGTGCACAAGTCCGATAAAGGTAGGCTGTTAAATAAATAATCAAACTCCATCTTGTTAATACTTCTAGTATAGGAACATACTTTACATTTAGACACATTCATAAACCACTTGTTTTCATTACACCAATTTTCAACGATTCCCAAGTTGGATCTGTAAAAAGTAACAGTCTTGAATTGATGAGATTGAGATAAATATTTTTAAGTCAGCAGCAAACAGCAGGTTAAATTTATTGCCAAGTCATTTATAAATATACCAAATAATAGTGGCCCCAGATTGGAGCTCTGTGGAACTCCAGATGTTGCTGTGAGGGGTGAAGATGAAAATCCGTTGGAAAAGACATAATTAAAACGATGATTTAGGTAAGATGAAAATAATCTCAACAGCGACTGATCAAACCCTAAGCTTTCCAACTTCCTTACAAGAATATTATGATTTTTAATTATTACAAAATACATTATGGGCAGGTTGTACAAAAAATATTCTAAACATATTTTATCTAATAAGAGTTTTATTTTTAACTAGTTATATTCAAAAACAAATGTCATTTTTAAAACTATATTTAACAATAACCGATGAGTATACAACAAAGTTCACAGTTTAAACTTAGTGTTACGAATAATGTTTAACATATTTTAAAATTCTTATTTTAACATCCTGTATTTTTTTATCTTGTTTTGTTTCTAAGATTTTATGGAAAAAAATTGTTTGTTACTTACTTTTCCAAAAACTAGGTCTTAATCAAAAATAATAAAATAATTGTCAGAATAATATAAGAAAGTAATAATCAGCACAGTGGAACAGTAAGTAATAGAGAATTTGTTG